CTGGGTGGGGAGGATGCTGGGGAGACCCTGGCATCTGGATCTCATCCACTCAGCTCTCATCTGAAGTTAGTGCCTTGATGTCTCCACCTGGTCCTCGTCCTCCTATCCTGTGAGCACTTGCTCAGAGTTATCTCTGGATCTTCTGCTTTCCACCCTAAATTTCCCCCATCCGTTATTCTGGTTGAGCCTTCCTCCTGAGATACTTGTCCCTCCGTCCTTAGGTGAGGGACTTGAAGATCTCACAGAGTACAAGTAACTGTTTTCTTAAGATGTGGGAGGGAGGACATTACTTTTAAACAATAGTGCGATTAGGTGCTTCGACTTTCCTAGGGGAAAGTGTTATGTTAATACAAGCTCTGTAGCATGTTTTCTTAGAAAACATTGGAGCGTTTGGGTTTTTTCCGAGTCTGTCCCGCCTTGAGGAAATCTAGAGAGCCTTGGAATTACCAGGGTTGAGAAATCAGAGGGCTTGTTCCACAGCATCAACTCACTAAAGAGTTGTTTAATTTTAAAGAAAGAATAGCCCCACGTTTTTGCTGTTGTGGTAATGCAGATGTACATTGTAAATGCAAATAAAGCAATGCAAAGAATGGCAAATGTAGAATAGTTGCATACTTTTGAGGGATGGCCAATGAAAGGTTAGATTTTACCGACTTGTAGACATGTTTCGATGGGACCACATTATACCCTCAAGCACTAACACCCACTCTGCTTGAAAGAAAGAGAGAAAGAAATAGAGCCCTCATTCTATTACTGGTTTTGATTTCTGTAAGTTAGGGTCTAATTCATCTAAAATCTCTTGTGTACATTTTTAATAAGTATTATAAAGTTTTCAACAGTGCAAGCAAAAGGATCAACAATCTGTGAGTTATTTAAAAAACCACTTAACACTTGAAGAAAGTCTGACAGTAGTTACTTTTGTAGACTTGAGATTGTAGTACACATCATGGAAATCTCAAGTGTCTCTGTAGATTTCTGATGTTTTGTAATATCGCTGTTGGGCTCTAACCAAGACAGAATTCCTTGCACGATTTAGCAACAATTTATTTCACTTCTGGTAGGGAAACATTTGATGGCAGGCCAAGGATGTGAGCAACTATTTCCAAGTGATCTGTGAATGGGTGATGTGTTATGAGCACCTTCCAGTGATTTCTTTTACTTTTGCCTATTTTATTGCTAAGCACTTTCACATCCATTATCTGGTTCCCACAGCAGCCCCCTCGGGTCTTATCATTCCCTCCTGTCTTTAGAAATAAACCTAAGTCACAAAGCTAAATAAACTTGTCCAGCACTTAGTCAAAAATGTGAATGCCAAAGGGAGGCAGTAAATTTGTGTTATCGTGTTCCTTGCTGCTGCTGCTGCTGCTGCTGCTGCTGCTGCTGCTGCTGCTGCTGCTTACTGGAATATTTGCGTGTGTAAGTAACTGTCACATGACCAGTTGGGGCTTTTTATTTTTTTGAGATATTCATTGTGTAGCTCTGGCTGGCATGGAGCTCACTGTGTGGACTATGCTGGCCTGGAACTCACAGAGATCCCAGGTGCAGTTGGGCCTCCTTAATGTGAGCTGGAAGTCATGAAATGCTGATATGTTTGTGAAGTAGGAGTACACTCTCACAGACAAATGGATTTTCGAGAACCAAAAGTGATTCAGTAGATAACATTGACCACATATATGATGGTTCAGTTAGAATTTTAATCTGGGGCAGGACAGATGACTCACTGGTTAAGAGCACTGGCTGCTCACCCAGAGGATCTGAGTTCAATTCCCCGCACCCACATGGTGGCTCACAGCCATCTGTAACTGCAGTCCCAGGGATCTGACAGCCATTTCTGGCCTCCAAGAACGCTGTATATATGTGTTGCACAGACACACAGGCAGGTAGAACACCCTTTCACATTAAAAAAAAAATTAACTTGGGCATTATTTTCTTATCCAGAATATTATTCGGAATAAGGTGCTCTTCTGGGTGGATGAAGTTTTAGGTACCCCCAACTCATTTTACAAAGTAGAGCTGTGCTTTAACAGCCTCCATTGGCGGTCCTGGGTAGACTCCCTTTGCAAACAGTATCGAGGCTTCATGGACTTTAGTTGTTTATTGTTGTGTGGATGTAGTTAGAGATATAGGTCAGAGTTGTTGATTTGCAATATTTGGACACCATCCCAGAGGAGAGGTCTTGTGAACCTCGGAAATCCCGTTCTGATGTTTATGATTGTGTACTCGTCAGAGAGAGGGGCCATGGCTTCCATCCATTTCTCAGAGCAGTGTGGGTTCTTTTAAGAAGCAGTAATAAAAGAGTTGGAGGCCAAATGGCTTCTCACCCAAACTGCTGTGGCTTCCCTGAGCACCAGATTAGCTTTGTCTTGTATTTACTAAATTCTCAGCCCTTATCAGTATCTTATATCTTAGTACACATTGCTTTGATGGCAGGACACTAGGATATATCTTGGGTTGTGCAAATATAAGGTGAGTTTTCACATCTCTTTTCTCCTGAAAGCTAAATAAAATAGATACAACTTTTAAAACATTGTATCTTTATTTAAATGTGTGTGTGTGTGTTGTGTGCAGATGTTTGTGTACACATTTTGTGCCCATGTGAGGGCCTGAGAAGGACTAAGATGTCTACTTCATTCCCTCACTGGAGCTAGGCTGCCAGCCCGCAGACCCCAGTGATCCTCTGGTCTCCACCCCTCACAGCGCTGGCTCTTACAGCACTAAGTAGCCACACCTGGCTTTTTACATAGGCGCCCAGGAGGCAAACTTGGCTTGTATAGCAAATGCTCTTATCCACTGGCCCATCTCCTCGGCTGGCTCCAAGACATTGTATCTTTGTATCTTTCCGGTAGGTTGATTGAGGCAAAGAGTGAAAGGATTGACCAGAATGTTCTTCATGCCTTAGGGAAGTTTTGTTGCCCTGTGTTCCTTTGACTTGCCAGCTTTTACAATGACTGTATTTTCATTGCTGCTAAGAGTGCAGAAGACCAGGGGCTTCTTCTGTTGTTTAACCCATATCCCAGAGCACTGAAGACATATTTCAGAAGTGACCTTAAATAGATGAGGGAACTTCCCCTACTGTTGCTGTTTGAGACAGGGTCTCATTATATAGCCCAGCTTCCCTGGAACCTTCGCCTTCCTAAGTACTGGGATTTCCAGTGTGCGTCACCACCCCTGGATGGAAGAGGAAATAAATGCAAGGTTTAGGAAGGGAATGTACTTGCTAAGGGCCAGATAGGTGCGAAGCTGGGACATAACCCATAGCCGGCTCCCACTGATTTTTATTTCCATTCCATTTTACTCCTTAATTGTTCTTTTATTTGTTCTTGCTAACCAACCCTAAATGAGATCACATCCACTACTCCCATTTTGGCTTATCATATTGCCCCAGGTGGTGCCAACAGGTTTCTATTTGAGCATACGCACTGTGTCCCATACACGGCTCACTTCCTAGGGCTAGTTTATTGCAGTGTGTAAACCAATCTATATAATGCAGCTAGAGGGCGTACAGCATGTGTTAAGCTCTAGATTATGGACCAGATTGTGAGCGCTGCTGGGCTGGGTCCTGCTGGTATTGTGCAATCCCCCCAACTTCAAAAAGTGGAAATGCCATATTGGCAGCTTGAAATCTGCTGTGGTGAGAGTTACTAGTAAACAGTATAGGTCAGTGGTTCCGAACCTATCTTTCTCTCTAGAGCCAGTACACCATGGACTTTAGAATTTAGAGAAAGCCGGGCGGTGGTGGCGCACACCTTTAATCCCAGCACTTGGGAGGCAGAGCCAGGTGGATCTCTGTGAGTTTGAGGCCAGCCTGGGTTACAGAGCAAGATCCAGGACAGGCACCAAAACTACACAGAGAAACACTGTCTCAAAAAAACAAACAAACAAACAAAAAAAGAATTTTAGACAAAGGGAAAGTTTAATGAGCTAGGATTATCAACTGAAGGTTCCGTTGTAACAGAAAGGTCTATAGTGATATGAGGGAAGAAGAGGGGTGGTTATGAGTCTAGAGAGGTGTGTGGGGGAGGGGGGGGAAGACAGCCAGGAAGAAACTCACATTACCTTAGAGGCAGTAGGAGAAACTGAGCTTGTAAGGAGTTTGAACTAGATGGATTTGGGCAACAAAGAGCTTCAAAGCATCAGTCATTGTTTTGAAACTGGAAAATTAACAAGGCACCTGTGTGCAGGACGTACCGCTACATCCTGTGAAGATGCAATAAGCCCTATGTGAGGTGATGATGGAAATGGCAACAGAGAGTGCCTTCAAGAGTAGTGGTTTAGGAGGCGTGCAGAATTTAAGATAACTTGATGAGACTAGAAGAATGACTCAGTGGTTAGGAGTGCTTGCTGCTCTTGCAGAGGACTGAAGTTCTTCTCCCAGCACCTGTACCTTCAGCTCTGAAGTGTGATGCCCTCTTCTGGCCTTCACAGGTACTTGCACCCACATGCGTACACACACATACCTATCATTAAAAGTAAAATTTTTTTAAAGATTTTTATTTATTTATTTATTATATATACAGAAGAGGGTACCATATCTCATTACAGATGGTTGTG